ACTTCACTCACCTAACTTTCTCTCTCTACCTCCATTGTTGAGTCCCCTTATACTCTCTCTGCGATAATTTTTCTCTCTCCCCTCCATTGTTGAATCCCATTTTTTCTCACCCAATTTATGTCATGAATTTAACCCCCCTTCACATTGCGATTTTCGCGACAGAGGATGATATCGAGCAGGGGATGATAAACGCTTTCTTGGATGCATTTGAGTCAGGGTCGTTCTGGCCTTGTTCTTTGTACTATTCCGGCAAAGGGCGTGACATTATGAGTCCCAAATTGTGGGAAGTTCTTGGTTTAGTGGTCAGATCTATGGGTTCTGGGTCCTCCCCTATCGTTTCCCGTGAGGGTGAAGATGAGGGGTTTGTTTCTGAGGTTAAAACACAACGGACGGTGGTGTTAGGGTTAAAGTGTCACGACGAAACCACTCCAAAACCCACCCCCGTTGACGAATTAGGGTTTCAGGGAACACAATTGGGCGAAAAAGAGGAATTAGGGTTTGGTTTTGGGTCTGGGTCATCAATTGCTTTCTTGAACAAGCCCAGTTCTGTGGGCAAACCCCCTACGGGTTCTTATCTGTCTCCATTTCGAAGGCGTCAAGGTCTTCCTAACAAAATTACTTGCGATGATGATGATGAGAACGTGGAGTCCCCCCTCTGAGTCGTTGAACGGCCTTAGTTTTGGCGTTGGTAACTGTTTCTAAGAAACCCTAACTGTTTTGTTTGTATGTAAATTTTTTTTTTTTTTTTTAGAATCCTGTTTAGGTGGTGGAAGAATTAATCATGTTGTATGCCAGTAACCTAGGTAACTGGCAGGGTGGATAATTGTTGGTGAAATGTGTGTGGTTGTTGTTGAAACAGCATGTGTGTTATGCTGTTTAGGCTATAGTGTGGAATCATGTTTGTTGTTGTTGATCCAGCATGTTGTGTTTGTTGTTTGATGTGGTTTGCTTAGTTGATGTGGATTGCTTAGTAGAATGCAAAATTAAAGTCCAGATAAATCAAATTGATGTAGTGTGGTTAGTTGTTGTTTGATTTGGTTTACTTAGTTGATGTGGTTTGCTTAGTAATCCTAACAAAATTATAGTCTCAATTACTGTAAATTGATGTGGTTTACTTAGTTGTTGTTTGATGTGGTTTGCTTAGTTGATGTGGTTTGCTTATGGTTCTTGCCGGTGATACATGTGGAGTCCCTTCATTGCTTATGGTTCTTGCTGGTGATACATGTGGAGTCCCTTCATTGTTGATACATGTGGAGTCCCTCATGTCCTTCATTTCCCTCGTGTCCCTCTATTTTCATGAACAGTTTCATTTATTCATAAAAGGGCAAAATCCATATGATGAAGGGACTCAATTAATAAAACTTTTCCTAACACGTGTTGCTCCAGTCTATGATGTCACAGACTGTGAGGTATCGTGTTTGTTGATGGTTTATGAGAATAAAAAACCCTCTGATGGATTGATGGATTCAAAGTTCAGATAATGTCTTTAATAATTGGACTTCATTCAAATCAAATTCAGTTACATACGAGTCCCTTTACAAAAGATGTAACACTAACTACCCTACCCAAAAGGTTGCTACTAAGTAAACTAGGTACACCTAACCAACAATAGATTAAACAATATAAGTCCCTTACACATTAAAAAAAAAAAAAAAAAAGGCTGGTTATGTGTGGCAGTTAATGTTGTCCAAGTAGTTTCTTCATTGTCCCTCAATCTGCATCCACCTCGAACTGATATGCAGCTTCTTCTTGTGTGTTTGTGTTGATGACATCATTGATGTTGGCTATTCATAGCATTGGAATTAGATGTTGATGCCTCATGGTCATTTGCCATAAAAAATGGTTGTTGTGATGCATCGGTTTGTGTGCTTTCAATATTTTCTTGTTCCTGCTCATCATCTGAGAAGTCTCTGTCCATATGAACCCTTTCCCATGCATCTATGACAGCCCAAAGAGGTGCTTCAATTGGATCCTGTAGTCTCCCTTCTCTGTCTAGCTTGGCTTTGTTTACATGTGGAGGTTCATACAAGAACATAGTCGTCCATTTTATGTGTTAATGTATTTGCACGTGTTGGCGGAATCTTGTTCAAAGATCCATCCAACTTCATTTCGATCTCAAACACCCCCTGACTATTGTTGAATTCTCTTAAAACGAGTCGAAAAGCAGAGTTGGTCGCTAGTGCCAACTCTGCGCTGAATTCCTTTGATGAAACTCTCTCCCAAACGAAACCACGTGTAATGATTTGTTGACAAGAAATAGCTTTAGCAATTTGTGGGACTAAAATGTCCAATTTGAATTCCTTTCTCAGCCTCAATGCTGCCTGAAAGTAGTCCTCCTGGCTCGTGAGTAGGGTCTGTCTCACTGCATAGTAATTGTAGCGTGACGCAATAAACTTGTGTTGGGCCCGTTCACCTTTCTTATCCAAACACCTCCAGTTTATGTTTACTTCTTTCAGCAGTTCTTCTGGCATCGCTTTCTCCTGCATTGAAAGAAAAATGTTAATTCCCTTGTTTTAAAAGAAGAATGTTTATTGTATTTAGTATTATATAAATACCTGATAATTTGCTGCTTGGGGCCTTTCAATTAATGGCCTTCCTATTAAATTGTGTATAGTGAATCCTGATTCAGTCTCCTGGTTGAACTCTAGCTTGTTTATATACTTGAAAGTCTTAATCGATGTCTGAACGAAGTTGAATTTTTCTGTTGTTGTGCTGGTGCTAAACTGGTTTCGAAGAAATAGCCTGAAAGAAACAAAAATAAATTTCCTGATATCAGTAATTCAGTATACTTCTGCTGAAGCCCAACTTAATGCTGGGTAAGTAGAACTTAATCTTTTGTCTATTCACAATCTATGATGTCTAGATTACTAATAATAATGCTTATCCTAACAGTGTAACTTTCTGAAACATTGTACAACAGGGAGATATTGGGATTTGGTATTTGCTGCTGGAATCAACTCTAAAAATCAGGAAGTTATCAAGAAGTTGGAAGAGGTTAAAAATATCATAGATGGTGCACAAGTCTTCTTTAGAGGAATGATGATGATGCCAATGAAATGAAGAGAATGATGATGATACTTCAATTGTAATTTTAAGATTATTGGTTGTAAAAAAAATAAATAAATAAATAAATGATTTATCTATAGATCATCAAGGTTGTTTCGTGGTTTTCAAGCAAAATGTATCAAATCAGTCAATATAATCAAAATCAATCAAGCAAAATGTAATTTGTTTTGTGGTTTTCAAGCAAAATCTAGGTTTTGCAGACATTATAATACGAGTTACCTTTATATTATAAAGGTATCAAATCATAATAATCTAAATCAATCAATCAAATCAGTTAATTTAATAAGCAAAACTAATTAAACAAAATTTGGATCTAATACCACATTGCTCCTTGCTTGATTGCTCGTCTTTGCGCTCCAATCGCCATTATCTCTCTCTTCTCTCTTTTTTTTCTTTTTTTTTTAAAGCTTTTCTTTTTTGTTTCTTTTTTATGTACTTCTAAATTAGAAAGTAAATGGTAATGGTAAAGTTGATTTTATAATTGCCTTAATATTAAGGATGATGATATATGTAGTCCTAAAGAGTTACATATAAACATTTATTACTTTTTCTATAATGGAAATAATTTGGAAATTTTATTATAGATTCACGTGCAGTTTGATGCAATAAATACTTGATCCATTTTTTTATTTTTATATTTAGCTTCTTAAATATAACCATATATAAGATGAAATAAATTAAAATAATAAGATGAAAATAATAAAATAAAATAAGTTACTATGTTCACGAATAATAAGCTAAACCTTATAGAAATATATCTCATGCGGATATGTAAGTTAAACTTCTATGTTTTATAATGTTATAGCATAAATATTTTCTTAGACTGTTTAAAACTTTTCATACTGCATAAATTTCATTAATTGTATAGTCGGCTATGTACTACATAAAAGTTGTTATAATACTGAGAATATTTTTCATATACTCCCTCTGTTCCACAATCAATTGTGCATTTGAGTTTTTTTTTTTTTTTTTTTTTTCTTTTTTTTTTCCACTATTTACATGTAAAAGAAATCTTTCATATATCTATTAACATATTAAGATAAATATATATAGTCATGTCGGGTCTTGTTTGATTCGTCTTAATAAATTGATCATTATTATTCAACTTTTATAATTCTTACAAATATAGCAATGTAGATATCAATGATATAAAATGTGCATTGGGAAGTGTATTAACAGTAAATGCGCAAATAATTATGGAACATAGGGAGTAAATAACACAGTGATGACTTTTATTACTAACTAGTTGTTGGTGCGCGCACAATGCGCGCGCCCCCCAACGCTATGATATGTAATTTTGTTCATGTTAATAAATATGTTATCTTGAAGATTATTAAAATGCATGCAAGTTTGATTAATGTTGATTGGATATGTTTTAATGATTGTAATGTGTTTAGGTTTGTATGCATGTGAATGGTAAAAGCAGCGTCCTGCTTAAAAACATATGTATATAACGTGTTTCGTAATTTTACTCATTAGAAATAAGTTTGATTCTTTATTCATAATTAATGCCCAAGTCACTACTAAATTGATATTATAGTGTAATACTTGACTTATACTGTAAATGTATATTAATATTTATGTTTTATTTGTTGTTATTTGACTGTTGGACGACACCTTTCTTCATTTTCATACTCTTAATCTTCCAACTTATAATAATCATTAACTTATATGGTTTTATTTGGATAATAGGTCATCCTTTGATAAAAAAGCCATAAACATTTTCAAAGTAAATTTGCCAAATGTTTTCACAATGGGTTATACTTACACTTTTAAATTTAAATTAAAATATAATTAGACTTTGCAAAATTAAAATCAGATTACACTTTAAAATACCAAGGACAATGATTTATAATACTTTTAAAATTAAACTAATTGCAAACACCTTATTACTTATGCTAAAAAATTAAACTCATTCCAAAGCATTGCCCTGCTTACGAAAGTTTGATATTTGTATATAACAGGGAAATTTGGTGAATTGATTACATTCAAAAAAACATAACTCTTAGAAATTAGGCAAATTTATTGACTATTGAGTTATTTCCATGTACATTTTCCTATAGAACATTGGTCTAAGTAGTAGTTAACAACTAAACATATTACGACACAAATGTTTATAATTACAAAATCAAACAATAAAGGGCTACATCACCCTTGTTTACTAAGATGATTACTTTATATACCAATTATTGTCGACACCTAAAGCATTCTCTCAACTTCAATGGAGTTAAAAAAGCTTGGAAGTCCACGTTCTTGAACAAAACATACCCGAATATCAGCTTCTCAACAATGACCTCTAGTCTTCTTCTCTCCATTTTGACATCTTCTCGACGGTGACTTCCTATTTATATAAAATCAAACAGACTCATTGGATCATATAAGGAAACAAACTCTATTAGATCTTATAATGAACAGGTCCATTAGACCAATTAGATCATATAAAACCAACCACATATTAAATTTACTATAATCCCACATACTTTCCAAACTAATCATACATAATTAAATCAAGTATAAAATACAATCAATCACATTATCAATTCCTAATTAAAACCAACATAATCAAGCTAGGCAAGTAAAAGGTAATACAAAAAAAACCCAAAACAAGATCTACACAAGATTAAATCATCATACGATACAAAATGACCAGAAAACCAAAATCAAAATGAATAAACAAAGAAGAATTCATACCATCTCTATCCTTGTCGAATAGTCTAAATCTGAAAGTGATTCATCATCCATCGTTACCAAGCATGACTCCTTCCTAAGAGCTAAAAACTACTGAAAAGATTATAGTACTATCCCCATTTGGGTTTCATTGTAGAATTGTTGGCTCAAACGACCCTTTTATCATGCAATTAATTTTGAATTGAAACAAAAATTAAATATAGCATGCCAAGAAAGTTAGATAGGACAATCATCACTACATCATCTCATTATGAATCGTGTACAAGCTGTCTGAACAGATAATCAGATATGCATGCTCACCCACCCCTTAAAGCTATTCTCCTAATCGAAAAAATGTTCAGCCTTGCTAAAAAATGATGTGATCCCTGCATAACAGGATATCAAATCCCAACAATTGATCAGAAGCTCTAGAAAGTTATCATACAAACATACAAAAAGTGCTCCCTACATTTGCTCAGTCTCTCTATAATTAGGCATTCAATTCCACCCTCTGAGAGCCCTAACCCTCCAACTGATAGAGAAAAGTCTTTAGCTTTTTCTTCATATTCTCACTCAATGACACAAATTTCCTCACAGCATAACGACTCAATTAAGCTTTGTTAACCTCTACTTGTTTAAACTTAATTTATATTAGCTAAATTTAACTTATTTTTGTTTAGCTTAACTGATTTTTAGGATAACAGAACCATAGTTATCCTTTCGTTTTCGAGTAATTCACAACTCACATACCTAAACTATGCATTCATCTCTTGTCCCTTTAATAAAGGTCACTCCACAAACTCTAGGGCTCCCTTTTAACATAACTACTAAGCTAAATGAATTTAATAAGCTAGACCTTACGCATTCACTTAAAACTCTTTATCACATTAGCATACACTATGCTATACCAAAACTCTTTAACTTGGCAGTGTAAAATGATTATTAAAATTAAAGATGCTAGCATAGTAGTTTGTTAGACCAACCAATCAATAATTGAGTGATTACTAAACGCTATCCACGTTACAACAAACTACCTATGATATTTAGCACATCAAAATCTTAATTAATAACCAATCCACATCACTCTCTTTCCTTGGCCACTATACAACGTCAATATTGAAACTCTTCCAGCTCTATTGCATCAAGCCGTTTTCCAAGATATGTGTTTTACAATAATACTAAAAGCAAAAATTTTAAAACTTATAGAATGAGATTTTTCACCAAACAACCCAAAACTGCAATTTTGTGTACAACTTCTCAGCCTACAGAAAATTGATTCAACCAATTCAGGATACTAATCATGAAATCAATACCGCATTGTTCAATAATCAACATAAATAGGAAATTAAGAGAAAAAACACAAAATAAGCCAAGTCCTTCATTTATATTAATTGATTACAGTTCATATCATAGAGGAAAATCTTCAAAATTCAATAACATGTCATCAGTTATATAACTGTGTCTAGGGCATACAAAAGGTATCAAACATAAAGGAAAAAAAATAACAACCTAGAATAATGTACATGTAAAATTAAAACCTCGCAAATATCCCAAAACCATTCAAAAAAGAAAACATCAGAATATCAGATTGATTATTAAGATACCAACTATGAGTCACCGACATCCCATGACTCATTTGTGTCATTTTTTTTAACCAATGTAGAGCCCAAGAAGAAAGTATGAGTTACATACTTGCTTAAAAAGCCCATGAACCGATTCCAACCAAATCCTTGAGCTGCACATATATTTTTTTTTTGCAAGCTTTGTATAATTGGATTTGTATAGCTGTAAAAATAAAATCCTTCGTCAAGTTAACACTTTCAGAAGCTTCTTGTACCTGTAATTAAACATCTACATAGTTAAAAACCCAAGATTTTTTTGTATAAAAAACAAAGTTGATTAAAAAGTTTACCATTTGAAGTAATAAAAACCGTAACTTTCACAGTAATTTAAGAACACCCAGATAATCACAAAACTGGTTTTAAAAAAGGTTTCAAAAGATAATCACAAAACTCCCAAAAATTAGCCAAATTGATTAAAATGATTATGGAGTAATAAAACATCACCAAGCTGAGCAACAGAATTAAACTAAACATATCAATTAAATAATAACATGTTCACAAGAAAAAGAAAATAATCACATTGAATTAGATTCGAATGAACTCAGCTGGGCATGAATATTGACGACTCGGTCAAGAATATCTTCTTTAATTCAATCATGACCACCAACCCCTGTAATTCTCCAACGTGTGCAGCTAGAAATGAAAAATTACGCACCATGGCCGGGATTCTCTAAGATCCAAACCTCTCTCTTTCTTTCTCTTCCTTCCTCCTGATTTTCTTCACTTTATGCCCTAGAAAATTCAACAATGTTCTATAAAATTAAACCCCAAATATTCAACATAATCATAAAAATTAAACGAAAACCCAAGAAAAAATTAATTTCCATTAGCCAATCGCACCTAGCTAGTAGATAAAACAACAGGGTCCAACATAATGTCTCTAAAACAAGATCCATCAAACCTTGCTCCGTCTTCCTCCTTCTTGCTTCCGCCTATTTTAGAGAAAAAACAGAGAAACTGGAGGATAAGAAAAAAATAACGGCAAAAAAAAAAAGGAAAAAAGAGGAGAAATAAACAAAAAAAAACAAAAACAGTCAACATTCATATAAAAGGTTAAATCTAATAGAAGAGATGAAAATTGAACCAATTAGAACAAGAAAGACAAAGGAGACAGATATGGTATCCACAGCACATCAATAATTCTATTAAACTGCATATTATGAAATAGTACTTAGAATTATTGACTTAAATGACCCTAGAACCTCGAGATTATGAAATCGATTGGTACAATATTCCACCTTAGAAGAAGCCTAAAGTTACTATTCTGATAAATAACGTGGTGATAAATGTTACTGTCAAATTGAATATGGTGTGTAAAATTTCCAGAAAAGACAAGTGGTGTAATAATTTAAAATAAGTATTTTATAATAATAAATATAATTTCAGCAATTTATAATCATCAAAATTCCCAAAAAAAAAAGTACTGTAATAAATACACAAAACACTTAACAGAACAATATTGTCAAGCATCCTATAGACCTCAGAAACTCAGCTGATTTTTGCATTTGTTCCAGCTGTAATAAGCTAGATAAAATATGTTTTCTTGCCAACTCAAAGCCTTTGCCTTGGGGTTCCTTCAAGCACATAAGAAGGTGGTAGTAATGCTGCAACACACAATGAAAAATGAAGTCTCATTACACTGTAGGTTTGATTAATTAATGCAGCCATCAAATTGAACAAAATTTTGAGGCAAAATATTATTATATGCCAATAAATTCTTAAGCAAAAGCTGTACCTTCCCTGAAAATTGCAATTTAGTCACTATGTTAGCGAATTTGTATCGGGTATTACAATCAAAACAAATTTTACACATGCATTAGCACACAGCAACAGAAATAGAGGCATGGGTTCCGAAGAATATTGCAGAGCTTGATGTCTTCCGTAAATAAATAGACTTATAGACATGAAAGATCAAAGGCATCAATAAGAACGATTGTCCTCTCAATATATGCAGAGAAGGCAAATAACGAAAAACATCCAGGGCCATTGTATTATACTGTATACAAGCTTAAGTGGCAGAGCCAAAAAAAAAAAAAAAAAAACCAAAATAGCACAACACTCAAATCTCTCGTCACATTTCTCCTGATGGTCTGATGTAAGATTGGCAATCAGGGGAATCTATAAACGTAGCAAGAGTATATAAGGTAAGACCTTACGAAACCATAAACGGCACAACAGAGCTCAGCAAAAACCCTCCTCTAGATCTGGATTGGTCTGCAACGGTTCTTGAACTGCATTCCAAGAACCTAAGCATTTCAGCAGTAAACCAAACTACTTATAACAACATTAAACACTTGACATAGGTTGCAGTAAGAGCAGCAAGCATCATGCATAGCTTTTGCCTGAAGACGTTTACAAAGAATAAGCAAGTGAACCTTTCAGCCATTCCATATTACCAAATTTAAACTATTTCTTTAGATGAAATAAAGAAATCTAATTTACAATAGAACCTTTCACAATTAATAACAGTCACACAGACAAATTGCTTAAACATAAACCAAGTCTATTAAGAATCCAAACAAATCTTAGAAAAAAATTCAATTAACTAAACAATTGCACAGCTAAATCTGAAAAGACTTGCAGCTTAGAACAAAGGCGGTTAAGCCACAATATGCCTAAACTAAAACCAAAATTTGCACGCATTTGATAGAAAAATAAGCATTAAAATACAAAACCCAAAGCAAATTTAAGGACTAAGAGATAACCAAGAGAAAATCCTTGCTTCCCAGGAGTCCGGTAATATCAACATTGACTGTAGTTTGGACGTGAAGAGGGCAACAGCAAAAAATCAATTCAATCCACCATAACAAATTTAAAACAAAAATCTATTTACAACCTGCAAAATTACAAGAAATAGAGGATTATGCATTTATATCAATGGTAAAGTATGGAAAAAGATGACAGTTTAGCACTTGACTGTAATTGTGAGGGGGTGAGGCCCGTGAGGATGAGAGTGAGGTTAAATGCAGTTTTTTTTTCACTTTTCAAACAGGAGGTGACAAGAGTAGCTACATGCAAGTTGTGACTCTTAATAGCATATGACTAAATATTCAGACAATAACAAGGAGTTATAGATAACTAACACTTGTTTTGGACCAATAATATGATGCATTAAAGTTAAAAAGCTAATACTTGGACATAGACAAATCTGTACACAGACATCCCTCCCAAATACATACAAACCAACCTAAAAACGATGTATTAAAACACTTTGACACATGTACCTGAGCAGAAACACCCTACCCAAAAAGGGAGGAAGGGAGGATTGGGGGGGGGGGAGGGAGAGGAAAAGCATACCATAATTCAGAAAGCCCCTACTTTGGCAAGGTATGAGCGAGAAGAAGACAAAGGATGAATGAGAACAATTGCCCAATGCAATCAGCACCAGAAAAAACCCCACGAACCCAACAATTTAATAGTCAATTCAGGATAAGAAAATCACTCACTTGCTCTTCAATTTGCCCCAAAAGGTGGATAATCATCTCAAGATCTCCCATTTCTCAAAACCAGCCTACCCAAATTAGCTCATATCTACATAAAGCATATAACATATGACACAAACATCATAAAATTCACAAAATGAGAACACCAAATCATGCAAATCAAAGATAAAAACACTCTAAACATGTTCCAAAAAACAACCAACAGAACTATAATCAAGGGAGACTAATACTAAGTTCGAATTTCACAAAAAAATCGCCTAACTTCAACTGATCTTGTTTCTCAATCAATCAAAGTAAAATTCCATCAATTCCACAAACCACAAACAAACATCAACAACAATAAAAAAAATTCTAGAAATGAAATAAAAAAAATATATAAAACAACCAATAACACCTGAGTTTATCCAACTCAAACTCGAGTCCACCAAACCTTGCTCCATCTTCCTCCTTCCGCCTATTTTAAAGACAAAATAGAGAAACAGGAGGACGAGAAAAAAAAAAAACAGTTAACATTCATATATAAAAGGTAAAATCTAATTGAAGAGAATAGATGAAAACTGGATCAATTTGAACAAGAAAGAGAAAAGAGAGAGAGAATTATACCTGGAGATCAGAAAACCATTGTCCACAATCGTAACCTTAGCAACCGCCCGAAATCGGAAACGCTGAGAAGAATCGAAGCCCATAACCATCGTCGAAGGTATGATCGGTGGTTTTGAGCTCACCGCCATCATTGGTTTCACTCTCCTTGTTTCCCCTAAAAAGCAACTCAACCTTTTTTCTCTGAGATGAGATGATAAGAGAAGAGAGACATCGAAGGAAGTTGGTGGGAGAGCAGCAGGCATCAACCAATTAGGAATAAGGGGCAGAATTGGCAATTCATTAATGTTGGGGGCAGTGGAGTAAAAGCACAAGAAATTACTGTTCCTAAGCACAGTGAAGAGTGAATAGTTGGGGGTTTCAACTTTTATAAGGGTTATAGATATATGATAGCCGAACTTAGATAATGGCTTGAGAATAATGTTAATGGACCTCACTTGAAAGACCATTTGGGCTTGAAATGTAGACGCATCACAAACCCGTTCATACGCGACGCGAATTAATTCCACTTGAAAGGAAAAGAGAGGAGAGTTTCGAACCCGTCACCTTTATGTCACGCTGGCTTCGTTTAGATTACCCAGACATAATTATAATCATTCTAATTCTAGTTCAAATAATAATACCAATACCCGCCCACTCCATTATATATATGCATATGGGCTCTCCTTACCTAGCCCAATAGAATGTATGGGCCTCCCACCGGTCCCATACCCTACTCTCTCTTCTCAACCACGTAATCTCAGCCCTGGAATTCTTGGGCCAATATCTAGGCCATCTTTTGTCCCGTAGCAGCAGTAGGTTTATTCTCCCTATGACTTTTACAGATTTAAGTCAGGCATTCTCTACATTAATCTTGCCGCAGTACGACCTCGCATGGTATATGGATTTGGGAGCTACTTCTCATATGACTAATCATGCTGGTAATCTCTCTCCTATTTAATTTAAGCAATAATAAATCTATTTTAATTGGTAATGGTGGTAGCATTCCAATTTAATGGTTCTGATCATGCTTCTTTGCCTAATAATGTCTCTCTTACCCTTCATAATGTCTCTCCTGGCTCCTCATATTACTAAAAATCTTAATTCTGTTCGCAAATTCAGACTTGATAATAATGTCTCAATAGAATTTTATCCTCTTGGTTTTTCTGCAAAGGATCTTCAAACGAGGAAAATCATAATGAGATGCAATAGTTCAGGCGAACTTTACCTTGTCACCTCATCCAGTTCACCTTCATCCTTTTCCTCCATGTCTCTTGTTGCTCTCTCTTCTTACACTTGGCATGACAGATTAGGTCACCTTGGTGCCCATGTTACTAGTTGTTTTAGATCTAAACATTTAATTCATGTAGTAAGGAGTTTGATTCCACTATTTTCACTTCATGTCCTTTAGGCAAACATGTTAAATTTTCATTTCCATCTTCTTACTTTGTGTGCGTTTAATATTGTTCTCGCTGATTTGTGGACTTCTCCTATTCCTAGCATTAATGGGCATACATATTATCTTGTTCTTGTGGATGATAATACTAATTATGTGTGGACTTTTCCTCTTATAAATCTTAAGCTTGTAAATCACTTCTCAATTTTCTGCCATACATTCATACTCAATTTTAAGCCCGTGCAAAGTACGAGTTCATGTTTAAATTACTCTATATTTGGGAACTTATATGTTACACCTTGAGTATTATTCTCTCTAAACTAATATCAGTATAAGCCCTAGAGTACGTATTGAGTATCAATTAATAATTAACAAACACAATGAGCTGAAATTTATTAGTATAATTTACAATGTACATGAAAATGGGAACAAAAGATATATATTCAAGTCATCAAATTCTAGGATTATCGTGTTAGGAAATTCGAGTTCTCAGTAGTTATTCGTTGGCTATACAAGTATCAATATAAAGACTTTGTCATAAGAATAGATTATAGGCTCCTATTAAAGCCTTATAACTCTGAAAACGGAAATTTGAAGAAATCAAGGATTAGAAACAAAAATAGAATAAAATAGAAATTAAATGACCATTCATATAATTCATCCATACCATAATCTTTTGTGCATTTGAGGTTTTTTTTTTTTTTTTTTTTTTTTTTTTTTTTTTTTTTCACTATTTACATGTCGAGAAAATTTCTTATATATCTAACAATATATACAAATAAATATAGTGATGTGGGGTCTTGTTTGATTCGTATTGATATAACCAATTATTAATACGAAGTATTCAACTTTTATAACTTTTACAAATATGAAATTATAGACATTAGTGATATAAAATGTATATTGGGAAGCATATGAGCAATAAATACACAAATAATTATGGAACGAAGAAAGTAATATTAAAAGGCACGATCACAAGACACAGTAGATAGTAAGTCCAAATAATTAGTAGAATTACAAGATCCAAAGGAGATCAAACACATGGTAGCAACATAAAGTGATGCTTTTCTAAAAAAAGTTGCAAGATGAAGAGATTGAGAGTAATGATGTGAGAAAGAAATAACGAATAAACAAAGATAAAGGAAGGTTCATTGAAAATTTAATTTGCCATGTGAAGATGACTTGCCACGTGTCTATATGAGTGAGAGTGAATTTGAGTGAGTTTTCTATGATCTTCATTTTAATATTAAGTATAAATATAGATATAAATATCGATAGATATAGATTTTTTTTTTAATTTTTTTGATGGAATATATCAAATATTTCTTTATCTAAGTTTATTATATATAGCTTATAATGTGAATTCTTATATTGTGCACGCATTTGTGTGCGCCACAAACCTAATATATGCATCTATAAATAAATAAATAAATAAATAAATAAATATACTAAAAGCAATGTTCACCCCTTAAAAATATTTCCCTCTTAAAATCCATTCATTTTCCCTCCCAATCTCCAGTTCTTTTTTTTTTCGTCTTTTTGATTTTTTAAAATTTTTTTTTTTTAGTTTTTCAACAATTCTACGAACTTCTAAGTTCTAATTAAGTTATTAGAAACTTGGATGACTTTTTATTTTTTTTAGAAAATTAAACCAAATTAAATACTACGTACATTCTTCTTTTATGGAATATCTTATGTACAAAGTTGGATATTGAGAATTGATTGATTGTCATAATTTTTCAGTATTACCTTTATAAAATCCTTATTTTTCAAGATTCCCAAATGAAAAAAAATGATTTTGAAAAATATTAATTGATTTATCATTTTTTTTTGTTTATGTCAATGGTTATTAATAATTGTGAAATACCATAGTATTAATATTTTACTAAATACTCCTTATGAAATTTCTCATTTAAAAATAAAAAATTCTTCATTTAATAATTGTGAAATATCAATATTATTAATATTTATAGAATATGTAATTTCTCAGTGGAAAATAAAGAATTCTTCATTTATTGATATTTGATAGATTGAACATCCAAGCATTTGCTCGAGGTTTTATCTAGTATAGTATGTATACTTCCTTCGTTTCTAAATAAGTGTTACACTTTGATATCTACGCTTGCCACACATTACTTTGACCATTAATAACTTTCATTAGGTATGAGTAAAAATTATACTTCCTCCGTTCTTTTTTTATTGCATCATAGGGGTTTGGGGGCAAAATTTGGTAGTGGAAAAAAGTAAGAGAGAGAAACGTAAAATTACAAAATTGTTCATATAATGTAAAGATAAAATAAAAAGTAAGTGTGAAAAAGCAAGGGTATGTTGGGTATTTGCAGTGTAAACATAGATATTTTTTGTCCTAAAATAGAAATGATGCAATATTTGTGAAACTTCCTTAAAAGGCAAGTGATGCGACATTAAAAGAACGGAGGAAGTATAACAAGTTAATATTATGAAAGTATACAATGAGATGAATCCAACGACGTATCATATAGTAACAATTAATTTTATTTGCCACTAGATAATACATGGTCAAAAGTAGTGGGTGAACAGAGAAAAAGTCAAAGTGTACCACTTATTTAGAAATGGAGGAAGTATATATATTCATAACAATAGAATTTACATGTATTGACCAATTTAATAATACGATAATATGTTGATAATATAATATTGTATGTCTATATTACAATTTAAGTGATTTTATATTATCAAATAAATTAAGTATCATAATCCGAACATTGATTGGGTAAGAAACTAGTTCTAATAATAATGACTAGGTTTATGGCGCACGCAATGCGCGCACAATACCAGGAATTCAAATTAAAAGTTATTACTCCGTTCGTTTCATAATGTTTTGTGCAAAGTGGTTTTTTTGACACTATTTACACGTAAAGAGAATCTTTGATATAATTATCAATATATAAGAATAAATAGTCATGTATGTGGGGTCTTGTTTGATTCATTTTAATGAGTACATAATTAATATTCAATCGCTATAATTTTTACACACATGCAATTCTAGATAATAATGGTATAAAATGTGCATTAGTTTGCGTAATGAACAGTAAATGCACAGAATATTAGAGCAACTCCAATGGTTAGGAAAAGAGACTAACTTGCAAATATAAAAAATCTTAAGCTATTAGCTATACCATTGTTGCACATCTTGTTGATTAGCTTTGTCAAGCAAATTAGCTTTGTAGAGCTAATTAACTTGGTAAATATTTATTAGATAAAAATTATTATTAAATTAAAAATAAATTAATTTACAACTAGCTTAACCATTGGAGCAACAAAAAGTTAGAATTGTTATAGCTTAAGAAGATGATGTGGCATGACAAGCTATTTAAAGAATTAGCCAGCTGTTGTAGTTGCTCTTATGAAACGGAGGGAATTTAAATTTTTAAATAAAAAGATAAAAAATATTTAAATGCAGGGTCAGTTGAAATTTGGTAGTGAAGTTAATTTTATTGTTACATAAAATGGACCAAATGGAATTTATTTTCCTTGTTTAGAGCTGGTATTTTCCTTTAAAAAATGAAAAAAGGTAGTTATATAGAATTATTATTATTATTATTATTATTATTATTATTATTATTATTATTATTATTATTATTATTATTATTATTATTATTATTATTATTATTATTATTATTATTTAGTGGGAAGGGGTATTTTGATCCACTTACATTTGATAACCAAGCATACCCCTTCTCTTTGTATTCCACAAGTACTCCATAAACTACTTTCGTTTTTCATTGTAATATGTTTATCATAAATCAAACAAGATGCAACCTAGCTCTAAAGCCATAATTAACTTTAAATGACTTGTTACTAATTCT